CCATGTGGGTGCTGGGAATCAAACCCGAGTCCTCTGGAAGAGCAGCCAGTGTATTTAGATCACTCAACCCTGGTGCAACACTAATCCTACAATTGGGCTAGATCCAGCATATAGAGCAATGGAACAGAAAATGAGGAACCAGAGATAAACCCACACAGATACGGCCTCCAAGTATTTGAAAAAGTGGTTAAAACATGCACTGGAGAAAAGGGGGCAGCCTGCTCAATAAACGGTGCTGGCAAAAACTGGATGTCCATCCACAGAAGAATGAAACTAGATCCGTATCTCTTACCTTGCACAAAAGTCAACTCAAAATACATCAAAGATCTCAATTTAGAACCTGAAGAGGAGCTCTTCAAGACACAGACATAGACCATGATAGAACAAGAAATAATTCCAAGAGTTAGCAAAGGGGATGACATGAAGTTAAAATCTTCTACAAAGCAAACACAACTACCATCAGAGAGAACATAGGCCCCACAAAGTGGGAGAAGACATGGGCCAGCAGGATGGCTCAGCAGGTACAGAGGCTTGCTGACAAGCCTGACCACCTGCATCCCATCCCTGGACCCACACTGTAGAAAACGAAAACGAATCCCCAAAGTTGTCCTCTGACTTCTGCATGTACACACACATACACACACACACTACACCACACACACACACAAACATACTACACACACTACACCACACACACATACCACACCACATATACACACACCACACACACATTACAAACACGACAAACACCACACCACACCACACAAACACCACACACCACATACACCACACACACTACACCACACCACACACACACATACACCACACACAAACACACACACACTACACACACTACACCATACACACACACCACACACACATTACAAACACCACACACACCACACCACACACACCACACACACACCACACACATACACACAACACACATGCACCACATACCACATAGATACACAACACACAACACACACAACACACATACACCACACCACACACCACACACACACCACACCACACCACACACACTACACACATGTACACCACACCACACATACACATTACATTACACATACCACATACCACACACACACACCACACACCACACATACACCACACACACCACACACACATCACACACACCACACACACACAAACTGCACATCACACACATGTACCACACACCACACGTACACCACACTATACACACACTACACATCACACACATGCACCACACTACACACACCAAACACATACCACACACCACACACACACCACACACACACACTACACACCACACACACACTACACACCACACACACACTACACATCACACATACACACTACATCACACACACACACATACACACACACAAACCAAAAGTGTAATTAGAAAATTTAATAGAAGAAAATCTTTATCATTTACACCTCAGACAGGAGGTTGGTGTCTAGAATATACAAATAAAACGTAAAAACTAAACGCAAAGAACCCAACTGTCCATTAATAAATGGGCTGCCAAAAGGAACAGATAGTTCTCAAAAGAAAAACCCAATGACCAATAAATATTTTTAAAGGGAAGTGCAAATTAAAACCACTCTGAAACTCCATCTCACTCAGAACACTGTCTCCAAGGAAACAAGAACAAACAGTTGCTGAAAAGGTTGCTGAGAAAGACAAACCCTGTGTACTGTTGCTGGTGGGAGCACAAGCCAGCACAGTCAGTATGGAAGTCAGTGTGGACGCTTCTCAAAAACTAAAACAAGACGCTCTTATGACCCGGCTCTACAGCCACTCCCAGACACACACCCGAAGTACTCTGGATCCTACCGCACAAATACGTACACTTGCACGTTCATTGCTGCTCTATTTGCAATTACAAAGAAATGCAACTATCAACAGATAAATGATAGTGAAAATATGGTGTGTGTGTGTGTGTGTGTGTGTGTGTGTGTGTGTGTGAAAAACAGAATGAGATACACAGAGTTTGAAGAATATTTATCATCTGGCTCTTTACAGAAAAGTGTGTGGTCCCTGATCTAGACTCCTGGCACTTGTGTGATCTAGACTCTGGCACTTGTGTGATCTAGACTCCTGGCACTTGTGATGTGATAAGCCCAGGTAGGGAGGGAAGGGGTGTGCATGGCACTAGCGTTGAGAGTGGCCTCGGTGGGGAATGATTTGCAAAGTGAAGGCTGGGGTCCCACATCCGTCTCACATTTGCTGTGTGAACTGAGGTGGGCTCCCTAACTTTCCCAAGGCAGCCATTTCTCCCCGACAACGAGGAGTAGGATGTTGAACCCCCCTTACCGTGTATTTATGAGCTTCTTAAACTAACATGGGTCCCCAAAATTACATGTTCTAGTGTGAGGTTTAAAATTCCCTGATGTCCTATTTTTTTTTTTCTGGTGAAAATTTTAGAAGGCTTTGAAAGGACGTAAGTTCCTTATGGGACACAGCCCTGGGGTGTGGCAAATCAAGAGGATAGGACACAACTGCCAGACAGAAAGTCAAGGCGTGTCATTCCTGTTTTAGGTGACAAACGTAGAATTGCCACTTTTCTTTTTTAAGCAGAAAGTCATTTTCTATGTTTTATAATCCCAATGCAAAAAGAGCAATAGATGCTTGTAGGCCAGGCCAGGGAGAAGAGGGTGGGGTTCCATCTCTAAAATGCCTGTTGAGATGAAAAACTATAACTTCCAATGTGAGCCAATTCATTGAGGCCTTACATTCATTTGTTGAGAATGGAGGGGGCAACAAAACCCCTCAGAACCAATCGGGAGAGGCAGGATGGAAAGGTCAGGCCCGGCAAGGGAGGCGCAACTATCCGACTTTGTTAAAATGATGGTATTCGACAGAAGTTACATGTGAGGTCAAGTGACCGCAATAACAGGGACAAGAAGAGCTCTCAAATCATTCTCGGGGATGAAAATGACACGAAACTGACATCATATCTGAGGTAAGATGAAACTCAAATCCTCCGCAGCTGTACACTTCACCTGCTGATGGGCAGCCTGACCTCACCAATCTCATAATCACTCGGTGTCAAGAGGAGAGAGAGCCTCCAGCTACACAAGGCTCAGCTCCTGCGCCCGTGGGGATGACGCTTGGCCTCTGCTTCGGAAATGATGTTGTTAAAAAGTTTCAATACTTGGCTTGAAACCTTTCAAATCAATGTCTGATTAGAAAAATTGGATTTCACCTACATGCATGGAATCTCTTCCCTTATGTAATTTTTCCCCACACCGGGGACTTCTTGGCTAGCGTTTCCTGCAATAAAACGTGTGTTTTAGTTCGATGGCTGTCTTGTTATTTTGAATGTTCCACCCGGTTCTACTCAAGATCTAAGAATGGTCTCTAATCTGGGTTAATCTTCTGGTCTCAAAACTACACAGAGAGCTCGGGAGGTGGGCTGGGGAGAAAGTGATTAATTATAGCCCTACTTCCCCCAAATACGCCATAAGAAAGGGAGAGATGGTCTATAGTTGAATATATTAACCCATGATAAAAGGCTTAAGACAAGGAAGCCAAAGCACATTTGAATGTAAAGCAAGTGTTAAAATTAAAAACCCCAAAGAAGAAATATTACATTTAGCCAGCTGTTACCAAAAATTACTTCATGCTCTGTCCTCTCCTTGTATTTGTTCTGATAGGAGACTCAGATGGTATGGTGGGCTGTACTTCCCTCTATCAGTGTGCTTAAAGAGGTGTGTGTGTGTGTGTGTGTGTGTGTGTGTGTGTGTGTGTGTGTTCTTGAAAGGAGAGAGAAGGCATCAAGGTGTGGCCAATTTGCATAACCACAAACTGCTCTGCCTTTCCAGTGTATACCATGGCTCTTTGCCTGCCAATACATTTCGGCACCCCAGAGCCAATAAATACAGTTGTCAGTGGGGGGATGAATCAGCATGTATTTAAATCAAAGACAGCTGTGAAAGACTACGTTCGCTCTGTTCCCAGACCTGTCAAACCACTGAAGAGATTAAACATCTGACCCTCTTCATCCCCAACATTGTTCCACAAGAGACATTTCTGTCACTATTCCTGCCACTTGGCTTTCAAAGATGCCACAAAGCCTCGGGCGACCTCTGCTACATTTCAGTGTTGTTTATTGATTTCTGACCCAGTGCTTAATAGTTTTCCCAGTGCCCCTGAATGGCTTTTGTAAGCAATGGGGTTTGTGCATCTCTCCGATCAATACCTTTTATATTTACAATAAAATTGAAACTGCTTCTGCTGGGGGCGCAGCCCAGCATTTGTCATCCTTCAGAGAGGGAAAACTATGTCATTATCTGAATTAAAACATTTATTTCTGATTAAGAGAGTGTCCTATCTCATTAATTTTTCCCTTTCCAATAGAACGGGAATAGAACACTATTGATTTTTGCACTTTTACACATCTCCACTGCTGGGGAGATAATTGAGAAGTTAGCCAGAATAAATGAAGTTTCAAGTCTAGTGGGCCAGCCAATACCTTCCAAATTCAAGGTGTTTTTATGAAGCTGGATTTTAATTTGTTGGCAAGCTGAAGCAGTGGGACTTATTCGACTGAGTAAATTGGATTAAGGGCAGAATCGGCCCAAAGCATGTCTTGGGGAGTGCTAAGGGCCTGGCTCCCTGTGGACAGCACAGCCTGCCTTCGGATTTATGCTAAGACAGCTTCCAAATTGCTCTCTTCCAAGTCTGACTTGCTTCAGGAAGTGTGGATCACTGACCCAAAAGCCTATTAACTTATGTTTCCCTTCCTCACGCCCGTCACCTTAAAAACAACCAAGATCTAATCAGACTTTGAACTAGACCTTCAGATAGTCAGCACCAATTGATTACACTTTATTGGAATAATGGGACTAAATCCAAGCTTCATTAACAGGAATTCCCTCTGCTTGGAACCCTTTATTCCAAAGACCTTTCAATTACAAGCCCTTATGGCACACACAGGGAACACTGCTCCCTTTGATATTTTTCTCATTAGGAATTAACAGTCGTTCGTTCTTATTTCTATATGCAGAGCCCAGGACCTGTCTGCTACAGGAAAGGCTCCAAAATGCACAGCCTCCAGGCTAGGAGGACACGGGACTGCAGAGGAATTAAGCTCCAGCCAGTTTTGTTAATGTCTTAATTTGTTCCTTTCTCTGTAATTTATTTACCACTGGCCCATTGCTTTTAACATTCGTGTTCACTTACATGTGTCTTCAGGCCCTTTAGGAAAAACACTGCATTGAAGGATGGTGTTGAAGACTTTCTGGGTGATAGCTCGAGAGACTTTCAGGGAAGAAATTTACAAAATGCCTTCCCTGGTGACCAGCAAACAGTGATCTTAGTAGGGAAGAGTTGGTCCGGAAATGAGGCCAAGAAGTTCCATTCATGTCACAAGTTGAGGTCAATGTGAAGATCATAGCTCCTCTTAGAAGTAAGTGAAAGACTGAAAATTAAGGAAATTGTAAAGACTTCAGTCTGGATTTATGTGACAGAGGGCAGCCTGTATTGGGTAGGCATGCTCGTGTGTGTGTGTGTGTGTGTGTGTGTGTGTGTGTGTGTGTGTGTGTGTGTGTATTTGCAGACAAAAAGAAAAATGGTCACTTCCAGAAGTTCTAGTGACTAAAAGAAAAAATAAAAAAGGAAATGAATACAGCAGATTAAAAATGCTGTGGAAGTGAAGAACTTAATTTCCAACTGCATTTTAATTCATGGTCCAAAGTACCAAAGTATGCAAAGGTTGAATACATTCATCACAAACAGTTCTGTTTTCTCTCTTTACACCAATGAGGAATTGCAGGATTACCAATGACCTTCCTCCCAATGAAGCTCCGTAATTATGGTCATTTATTATACAACAGAGATGAATGAATGGGATTTACATAGAATAAAAATATTATTTAACAGCTGTGTTATTGATGTGTGAAGTGTAATTTTAATTTATTTAAATGCTATAAATATATTGGTAATGTATTCTTTTCAAATTAACCTCCTGAACCACAACTGGGAAAGGTTCAATTAATATTGTACTAAAATCTATTTTCCTGTGTTGTACAAGCTGTGTAGAGCTGAAAATACACATTATTGTGATGCCTGCCTTCCTTTTCCAGTGTGTTTTGCTTTTCTCCTTGATTCATGATATCAGGTTGAAATTGAGCGTCTTTTGGAATCACTTAAAAAATGTATCTTCCTTTAAAGGAAGGTCCCTATTAAAGTTTAAAATTCTTTTTAATATAAATTATAAATGTAATAATTTGAGTAAAATTCTATTTACATTCATTGGACATATCACAATATTTTAATAGTTGTTATTATTTCCATTGAGATGATAAAATGGAACTAGCCTTTAAGCCAGCTACTCACTCTGATTTACTTAGCATATTTAGCATAATCTCAATAAGCCTGCAAAAGAGCCCCCATCTATACATTACATTGCCTCTCTTGGTACTAGAAGCACAGTGGACGTCTATATGTAGAGATAGACTCAGGTATTTTATTTTGGGGTTTATCTCCTTTGTATTCTGTCCATTTGCCCCTGGCTGTCATTATTCCATGCTCATCGACAGAAGAGTTATAGTTTGCAAAAACCTATCAGGTAGGCTGGACACTAGATAATTGAGGTGGTGATCAGCCCCAGAGAAAGACAATTGATAGTGATGCTGTCGGAGGCTGCACCTAACAAGATCTGTACCCTCTGTCTCCTTTAGCCTTTCCCTGGAATGGACAGAATATGGAATAACACAGCATGTCTGGTGTGCACCTGGAGCAGGCTGGCGGGGCATAGCACCCCTTGTAACTGTGATAGGATGGGGGTGTTTTCTGACATTGAGGCAGGTTATTAAATAGAAGTGTGGACTATTAAAGGGATGATTTTGACCTTCAATACATTTTTATCAAAGTCAAAGAATGTTTGACACCACTGAACAGTCTGGTAGAGGCAAGGGAAACGCTTTACTGTGGACATCTCTTCCATAGTCTTCAAAACAGGAGGATTTCCAATATCTTCACTTCTAAATCTCTAGCATCCTGTAGGGCTCCTGGTGACCAACTCTGGATGGATGTTAAATGTGCTCTGAAATGATATTTGAAAACAAGATAGTTGTCCAATCTTAATAAGAACTTGCTGAATGAAAAATAAATTTTGAAATTGCATTTCTAAATGATGATTTTTAAGCTCACCTGTGCTCTACCTTGCGTTGGTAGATATTTTCCTAAGAGACTTTTAAAATGCACTCTCATTTTTATTAAGTGCTGGGATTCGTTGGGCGAAAGAGTTTTTAGTGTCCACACAGAAGCCTGTAAAAGCAGACTCCGGGGCACCTTCTAGACTCTGGCATTTAGCTCCCCAACCTCACAGGCTGTTTCCCTCACAGCCTGCTTGTCTGCTTCTACCTACTTTTGGAACATTGAGAGACATCTCCCATCTCTCTCACATCCCCTACCTTCCCAAGAATTTTCAAGTCTAAAATACTACACATTATCACACCCTAATTGCAGTGACAAAAACTAATGTATCCCACTGACAATGGACTCAAACCAGAAAGGATGAAGACAGTTCTGGTTCGGCATGGCTATTAAACACCCTATAGTCTATATAAAAATATGCCAAGTTGAGGTTTAACAGTAATAAAATAGTATGGGTATTGCTTTCAATCCTGGCTGAATGAGCAATGCCCCCTGATTGGGTAATTGACAAACTACATACTGTAACACACTCCAGAATAGCCCTGTGCTTTCATTATGCTGAACAATAGGTTAACTAGATAACTCTGCACTTGGCAAGATTACTTTCCACCGACTCCGAGCATCTCCTTTTCTCCATGAGCTATTCCCTGTGATATTTCTGTGCTCCTCTCCCAAGCAGCGCGCTTGGAACACCAGTTACAAGCTAGCTCAGTGGTGCTCAGCTTCGCTCTTTTACCTCCCCCCAGGGTCAATTGCCTCTGGGAGGGAACCACTATAGATTAACAGGAAAATATACTGCCTGATTCATAGCAGACAGAGGCCTTCCAATGCTCGCTAGCTCCACTGAGACTGCCGCTCTTTCAGTCTCCACCCTGTCTGCAATTAGTAAATAATTCTCTGCTCAGAAACAGTCTTTTTGAGAAAAGATACAAAGATATAGCTTTAATGACACGTACTCTTTCTGTTGTTGTTGTTTAATACTTAAAGGTTGGAACACACTGGCTGGTGGACTCAGGCATTTAAAGTCAAGTTAAGAATTTCCATCGCCTGTTTTCTGCTTCTCATCATCATGAATCAACAAGGTTTGCAGTCCCTTAAACAAAGCTCGCAGGCATCACTGCCACTGCCTGCGTGGTCTGGAGGTAATGCCTGCTCACTTAATACTGGACATCCATAGATTTATAACAAAACGATATAACTATTGTCATTGGAACTGCACTGAGTTATACCGACATGGTTTTCTGTTCCACGAGCCACTCCCCATTCGCACCGTAACTCAACCCCTAAGTGACAATAATACTATCTATGAAATTTATATTCATGATTATAAATTAATTCTTTCTTTGTTCCAGACCACCAGTAGCATGGGCTTGTAATTTCCAAACAGCATTTATGGCATTAACTTGGGAATACTATCCATCAAGCCCGAAGACAAATGTGGAAGACAATAGTCCTGCCTGCCGCTGGCACAGCAGCAGTTAGTTGGGGAAAGGGGGAAAGGGGTCTGAGCAGAGAAGCGGAGGTGAGTGGCCTCTGCAGTCGGCCTCAGGAACGGACAAGAGACTGCACAAACGACATTTCCCTTAAAAAATCCCCTTTACCGGTCACTTTCGCGGAGCAGCGATGGTCCTGTTAATTATGAGATTTACTGTTTATGCAGACCCCGCTACTCTCTAAACACCCCATTATCTCCTGCCCATAACCTGCCGAGGCATATGTGACTTTATGATTGCACTGATTAAAAAGATGCTGGTGGGGGCCGGGAGAAGGGAGAGCTTGTGCGTGCTGGAGAGATGTCTCAGTGGTGAGGAGCACTAGCTGCTCTTCCAGAGGATCCAGGTTCAATTCCCAGCACTCACGGTGACAGAAATCTGTGCCCCCGGTCCCAAGGGTTCTGACGCCCTCTTCTGGCCTTTAAGGGTACTGCCACACAAGTAGTATGCAGGCAAAACATCCACGTATAAAATAAGTAAAGATTTGTTTTGTTGTTTTTGTTTTAGACCCTGGAACAAGGAGGTTGAGTGACCTGCTGAATCGTGGAACTAGTAATTTTAATCCACATCCATCCATTTTTAGAATGCACAGAGGTAATGGAGACACAGGTTTTCTAGAGTGGTTTTCACCAGCACAGCCGACAAAATCCACTTTGGTTTGTTTCTAATGAAATATAATCATAGTAAATAGATAGGATTAGTTGGGCCATTGAAAAAATGTCAACAAGGGGAGCTTAAGAGAGTGAGATTTATGGGCTTTGACCCCCCCCTAAGGCTAAACCCACCCAAGTTCCAAACCTGAGACTTCACCTTCCTAGGAAGTCACTTAGCCTGCATGGAGATTGCCAGACAGGGAGGAGCCAGGAAGAGCTGGTACACACTGAACCTAAATGTGGCTCTGGTACAGGTACATGCTCACACAGATGCACGTGTATACAAATTAACACGTGTCCCCACTGCACACAGGTGGGCTCCTCCATGAAAACTCGACCACTTGAACATTCCATTATTGTGCCCAGACCTGGATGGGATCCTGTTAGGGGTGGGCAGACAAAGGAGGGGGGAATCCTGTGCAGGGTGTCCCCTCCTTTCCTCGGGAGAGGGGCTCTCCTGTGCACACAAGTTTTCCTTCCCCTCCTCTCTGCCAGCCAGAACATCTAAAGCAAAGCCCCAGGACCCAGTCATCTTCAGGCTGTCAAATGTAATCCACAGGATTATGAGATGAATGGCTGGGTTGCTCCTTTGGAAACAGCAAGGGCTGAAGAGGCAGGAGTGTTTAAGATGTCAGGTAGACACAAGTACCCGACTCAACCCTAGTAAAGCTGTTCGTGGCCAGTTCCCACCAGTTTCTAGCAAAGCCTCATTGTTTGCAATGTGGGGTCAGTCTTTCACGTCATGGCTTAACGGTCCCTACCCTGCGGTCTGTTTGGTTAGTTCATACATTCCTGGTGTGGGTACATCATGGCTGTATTCACAGGTGAGACACTCAGGCTTCAAGGTGGATTCCTGGAGGTTCCCCACCAAGAGAATTGATGCTCAGACTCCAAGACCTGTTCCCATCTGGTGGCTTGGCAACAACAGACACTCTGAGCTTGCTGAAGCCAGAGTGTGAGAAGATGTAGCTGCTGAAAAATGTATGTTCTGGAACCAACTTCCTGGGCTCGATTCTAGTTTTGTCATTAGTAGTCGTGTGTACCTGGAAAATCTGCCTGCGCCTAAATTCCCCTTCCTTGCCTGTAAAGCGTGTGTCCGTTCCATACAGTTGTGGTGAAAATTAAATGTACACACTAACCTTCGTAAGGCATTCAAAGCAAACAGAGACCGCAGTGAATACTCAATAAATGAGCCAGCACCGTGGTGTCTGGCGCCTGAGACTTAGCCCTGTCATCCATCTGCCCTACAAACCCTCTACTCCTCTTCCTTCACATTATCAAATAACTCTCTCTCCTGCCCACCACATCCCAAAGATGGAGTTCTTTCCTTCTCTCCTGCCACACCTACTGTCCACAGTCTTCTCACAGGAGTAGACTTCCAGCTTCTCCCTTTGCCCTCTGGTTTCTGCCACATTTACTCATATGTATATATTGTATGGTACTGGGCACAATGTATATTATACAGACATGCTGTATACATGTACATGATCTTCTGCATAACGATCCTCTGTAAGCACAATATCACATATAGTGATTTACAGAGGTGCCTTCTGGCTATGTCCTGCATCGGGTCCTGGATTTCTTCTCTGTTCTACACTTCCTAACTTGGTGAGTGTGTTCAGTAAATGAGATGGGTTTGTAGGCCAGCGTCTACTCACAAAGACACATGAAATGCAAAGCCTGATTGCTCCCCTTCCTGCCCAGCTGAAGAGTGCTTCATTTCATTCTCGCCTGGGATTTGCTTAGCTGTCTGTTTGAGAGGTCTTGCGGCAGCCTGGCTCCTCCTGCACTTGTCCAGCCCTGCTCCGTGCCCAGTCCTCAGCAGGCCCCTCCTCTGGGCTCCTCCTTCAAGCCCTACCCATCAAGGAACTGGCTCTCTTCCTTGCCTGCTTCTCCTAGATCGTATTTTCTTCTTGTTGCTTTTCACTTTCTTCCGGTTAGAAAGGTTTCAATGAGAGTCTTTGCCAATCTGCTTTTCCGTACTCCTCCTTGGACTTTGGCCTCAGCCTTTCTTCCTGGATCTTCTGCTATGCTTAGGAGACATTTGTACATGCATACGTACACACATACAAATAACATGTGTACACATACACACACACACACAGAGACACACGTGTTTTCATGTGATCTGCCAGCAAGTGACCTTATCCATTATTACCAAAACTAGGACGTTCCTGAATATGAAAGGGTGCAGAAGCTCTCAGAAGCTCTCAGAACAGCAGGTATCAACCACATTGTCCCAGGGAAACCCTTGCTAGCAGGCTGGGCGGCTCTTGGCTCCTTCTGGGCTTTCCCTTACCTTCCCCCCCAGTCTCCACAACTATGCTTGTCCTCTTCTCACTCCTTCTCAAGCCCCAGCACTTGCCCTCAGGTCCCTCACATCCCCCCTACACTTCCCTCCCTACTTTCTACACCTGACCCTTCAGGACTGTTACCCCCCACCCCATGTGCCCCAGAGCCACCAGCTCCTCTCGGACTTCTGCTCTTGGCTCCTCTAATCTCAGCTGTTTCCCTGGATTTCATCTCCATTCTACCTTGGATTTCATCTCCATTCTACCTGTGTGTTTATTTCTGAGTGTCCATCAAATACTCTTAAATAGCCTCAGGGTCGCATGTGTCCCACTCACCTCTGAACACAGGTCTGCATGTGGGACAGGCTAGGCAATGCCCAGCAGGCCTTTGTGACATGCTTCTGCCCCGCTGATCAGCCGGAAAGTTTAACTGAGCTCCAGTTGTGTGGCTGGCTCTGTGTGGGACTTGGGAAATACTTGAGATGAAAGGTCAGTAGCCGGTGATAAACAGCCTCACTGGAGAATGACTTGGAAAACAACACGGGAGCCTGGCACATGGAAGGATGTCAGGATTGGGGCATGGGAAGGAAGGAGACTCACTCACCAGAGGCTCCAACTCGGAAGGAAAGGGAAGGCAGAGGTAACAGTACACGCCAAGCTTGGAGGAGAGGTAAGAGGCGGGGAGTGGCTGGCATGTGTAGAGTGGGATTGGAAACAGCAGAGCCCAGAGAAAGGGGAGGCTTGGGTCACGGTCTCCCATCATGCTCTCCTTCCTTAGGCCCTCTCTCCAGTAAATGGAGCTTCACTTTCTGGTGCCCACCCCCTCCCCCGTCCTGCCACTCTTGACTGTCACCTCTTCAATCCAGGAGTAGCCTCCTAAAAGTTCTGTGACGCAGAACCTCTTGTCCTCAGTGTCACGGTCTTGGGGAACGGCTCACTGCCTTGCAAAGCTCCAGGACTATGTGTTTACGGAAAGACCCCTGCCCCTGACAGAGACAGCTCGTGCAGCTGTAGAGAATGTGGTAAGGACACTGGGGACTGGAGGGCCACTGCCAGAGGGCAGAGGATGCTCTCTTCCACAGCTGTGATTCTGTTTTGGAACAGCAGAGGCAAGCAGTGGAGTCAACTGGCCTCCTCAGCTGGCTTTCCTCTCAGAGGGGCTGAGTACAAAGGAGCACGGAGGCTGTGCCCACTACCCCCACTGTTGGTGACCCGGGAACCCGGACCCCCTTCCAGCAGGGAAGGATGATGCCACCACGTGACAAAAGGGCCATCTACAGCACAAGATCTCCTGGAAGAGCATGGAGAGCTGGACCACTGTGCATTCATCCTCCTGTGGTCCATTAGGATGGCTCTTCTGTGTCAAAGTCTGTGCTCTGGACCAGGTCTAGCCAGCAATGTGATATCAGACTCCAGTTGTCCTGGAGACCATTGATGTCTGCTGTCCTTGCTACTGGGATGAACCAGGCCATTTACCCAGAGAGGTTCAGGAGGACAGTTGTCTAGATTCTGTGAGAGCTGTTCTATAGAGTAACTAGACCAGCTCTAGTGCTAGCCTTGACACCCCGCTAGCTCATGGACTTTCTTTTCCCTTTTCTAAAGTTTTACTTCATGCTGAAATGTTTAAAGGGCATTTCATTGAAATATTTCTGGGGTGCATTGTATTTCAGCATATGCATGCAGTGTGAACCAACCAAATTAGAGTAAGTAGCGTTTCAATCACTTCAAATGTTTACCTTTTCTTTGTATTGAGGACATCCCAAGTCCTCTCTTCTTGTTACTTTGAAATATGTAACAAATTCCTACTATGCCAGTCACCCTGTCACTGTGTGATAGGACACCTGCCCCTCCTCCAGCTGTCACTTTGACACACGTGCTTTCCACTCCCCGTGACAGGCCAGGGCCTGAGAAACAGGGCAAGCTGCCAAAGCCGACTCCATCTGGCTGTGCCTCCTACCCAGGGAGTGGCACCTCCCCCTCCCCCTGAAGGGGAGAAACATTGTGGGTGTGCCACATGAGGGGACCCCACCTTTGGCAGAATGCGTCCCTGAACTTCCACAGCCACAGGTGCCCCCCACTCTGTCCAGTCTGATGTGACAGGAGGAAAGGGGAACTCACTGTGGGAGGAGTCCCGGGGGGGTGGGCCCAGCCACTTTCATCTCCACGGGTGGTAAAACCAGGGTGGTTGCCCCTCCTCAGTGGCATCATGAGACACAGACATGCGAACTATACTCCAAGCTCTCTCTATAAGGCCCCAGTGGCAGCACCAAGATTCGGAGTGCAGATGGGTCTTTTTGAGGGCATGGGGAGCGGTAGTGCTTGTGTTAAAGCGTGGCGTCTTGGGACTTAGCTCAAATGTAATTCACAGGCCAGTGTGAGACCGACGAGTCCACATTTCAGCCCACAGCTTGATGATTCTCTGACAGAGGAGAGCTGTGCCCTGGCCTAGGCCTGAGGGTGGCAAGGATGGGAGGGAGGGAAGTTCGAAGGGAGGATCTGGAGACCCTCCCCCCAGGACTCCCTCAAGACTTTCTCTGGTTTTGTACATTGGGGTTTTAAGTAAGACTTTTGTCTGAAGGAGAATTCCACAACGCAAGCATTAAAAATTAAAACTGCAAAGATCCCAGTGCACAGGCGCATGTGAGACACTCTGAGGAGGTCACAGTCGCTCCCAGGAGGACAGCAATTTTAGTGAAGCCTTGGCCATCCCAAGCCCTCTGGGAAGGAACTGTTCTTCAGAGCCTCATTTTCTGGATAGCATTGAAACTTTTTAGTAAATGTTAATCGTTTTGTGGGGAATATGTTACACTCTTTCCTGTCTTTTAAAAACGAGAGTTAGGAACATAATTAAACCGTTGTTTGAAAACTCAGAGTCACCTATTAGATTCCGTGTCGCCATCCCAAAGGTCGTGAGGCCAGCCCAGAGGTCAGCCATGCCAAGCATGCTTGGTGAGCAGACCCATCACATTCTGCTCCCTCTCTCCCTCAGGCCGCCACTTACGGACTGTGAAGGGAACCCGGCCATTGTGGTGAAAACGGAGGTGACAACCAGGAGGGTGAGCCCCAGCCTCTGCCAGCCAGCCGAGAGCCATGGACCCCAGAGGGAGCTGCTCTTACCTGTCTTTTCCTTCTGGGAAGTAAGGGGTTAGCTCAAGCCATCCCCGGGAGGGCATTGATGTGTGCTGGTTGCATAAGCAGAGAGCCAGTGCCTGCCAAAGTGCTCAGATGCCACCAGTGCTGACCACTAAGGGGAGAGGGAGCCCTAAGCCACCTTCTCCCCGTAAGGGAACCCCCGAGAGTGGAATTTTCTGTAAAATACTGGATTTTGAAATGTGTACAATATGGTGGGGCGGGGCGCTCACATTTTCCCACACTCCCTCTTTCTGTGCAGGAAGCCTCCTGGCTGGCAGAGACTAGAGTGAGAATCAGCCCATCTCCCTTTACTTGGGGTTAGGGTAATGGGTACAAACTAAGGTGCAGCAATCTGAGTTAAACAAACAAACAAACAAAAGTTTGGGAAGGAAATGAGGCAGAGGCACTCCCTGCAAACTGTGGGAAAGCAGCCTGGTGGAATCCACTTGCTGGCACTGGTGGCTCCCACTAGACCAGGGAGAAGCAGCTGCGTGGGTAGACGGGCCTCAGGCCACCAGCTGCCAGGGAGAGACAGCTAAAGGGCCTGGAACACCCACTGGCTCCTCCTTTTCAGAGGCCTCTCTGTCCCCTACCTCCCAGGGAGTCCTCGGCCTTCTCGCTTCCAGAGAGAAACCAAGGCTCTGGCCTTCCTGCCTGAACACAGTCTCCAGGTTTCTCCTCAGAGAGGACCAGGCTCACACTATCCTGTTTCCCAGAGGAGACAGCTCTTGTCAGTGGGGTCTTGCCAGGCCTGTTGGCTCCCAGGCCCCCTGTGGCCTCTCTTCATCCCTTTCAGCCTGTTCCAAACCGAGCAGCTGGGGACTTCAGTCCAAGGGTCATATTTCCAACCCTGTTTCTCTGGAACTGCCCACACTGAATTTTGTTCCCTATGTGGTATGTGAGTGGAGAGGACTTACGGGTGTTTGATACAGCAAGGAGCATGTGAAATAATAGCCACGGTTTACCATGGACCTACTAAGTGCCAAAGAGCAGCAGACATGACCATTCCCATTTTATAGATGAGGTAACTGAGGCTCTTAAAGTCCAGTTCACTTCCCCAGGTTCCCACAAGAGAGCATTAAGTAATGGAGAGGAGGGCACTCCTGTGCACAGACCCCCTCAGTGAGCAATCCCATGGGTGGGTAACAATACCATCCTGCCTCCTAGTGGCCAGGCCACTGGCTCAGCTCACTACAGGGCAGGGAGGCCTCTCCCCTCTCCTGTCATCCCAGGGGCCAGACAGCTGATTATTTCAAGAAATGGCCTTGACCAGCCACTCTGGGGCACTGAGGTCTCGGAGCAAATGGAAGCAGCTGGCTCCCATTCTCAGACCTTGTCACCTCTCACCCAAGGAGTGGCTTGGACAGAGCCAGGGGCACACCCCTCACCCACGCTGACCAGGTGGAACACGATGCTTGTTGACTCCTGCCTGGTCAGGGGCAACTGTGGCCCTCACCCTACAACCCTGGCTCCCCCGGTGGCGACTGGCCACAACCACCATTCCTGATCGTTCAGCTCTGCAGATGCAGCATGGAAACTGTTTGTATTTGGGAAGTGGCCCCAGGGACAATGTAGTGATTCGCACAGCTTATCACCTGGAACCACTTCCTTTAATTTTGTAAGTCAAGGGAGATGCAGATGGCAGAGCCCTTCAACCTGGCAATCCCTTCCCAGTCCTGCCAAATTTTGATTGTTCATTGGAATTTGCAGGCGAATACTAACACACACAAGTAGGTGCACTAACCCATGACTCTCCCAGTCCTAGACACCGACACCCTTCCTCTAAGAGTGCTCATAGCTCATGCTTGTCATGACAACTAGCTAAACAAAGGTTTGTCTCTCCTTCGCCTGCAAAAAGCACGTTTCCCTGTTCCGGGACTGTGTGTCGTCAGGTGTTGCAAGACTCAACAGGAGCTCTTCCAGCCCTGGTGGCTTTGAGTGGCAGGGACATCCTCTGCTGGGAGTGAGGAATTCTCATGTGGTCCTGGCCCCTGCCATCACTGCTTCTAGAATGATCTCAGAAACACAGGAATCCTGATTCAAAACCGAAAGTGTGAACACTAGCTGCTGCACCCTACACCATGAATTTACATATCCGTTTTCACCGCAACTCTTATATTGCTTAAATGTAGAAAACAACTATTTGTGACACTCTTAGATCTTTTATCTAAGAATCATATTTAATCTAATATACTTAAATATGCACTGTTCCCTCCAACCTTGATGACACCGGGCATGCGTTGAGATCCCAGCAAGCCTTGCCTTTCTAGGGGTGGACCTCCACCTTCCCTCCCCGCCTTGCAGCTCAGGTTCCTATTGAGAAAACCAAACAATTCATTATCGTGGAAGCCTGCGCCTGTGTCTACACATAAAATTAAGAAAGAATCAATAAAATGTGACACAAGTAACTTCTGATTCCAGCAGGTGCTGTAGGTCATAGGTAGAGATCAAAACCATCACGTCCTTTAATATTTTATTAGACTAGACAGATGGCCCCCTTCCTAAAAATTGGTATTCTGATAACATTATCAAGAGCTACATGGAAAAATGTTTTGTGCCTAAGGGACCACAAATAAATACATGCTTAAGTGCAACTAAAGAAATTTAATTATGTGTATGAACATTTATACTAAATGGTTTCTCCGGGAAGCCAATGGGAAATTACAGCTAACAAGTGCACCAGAATAAGGTCTGTTGTTGAGGGTTATTAGCCTAATCACATAATCCAATTCCACTTCCAACCACAGTCCTGTCATTTGTCCAAGTCAAAATAAAACCATTGTCAAACCTTAATGAAACCAGAACCGGGGGAGGGAATCGAGGACAAAGTCTTTCTTTTTAAAAACAGGCTTCTAACCTAACTTTTCTCCTAGTTCCAAAAACAGTTCAAAGATCTGAACTGTCTTTTAAAAAAAAGGGGGGAGGGAGCGCCTGGGACTTCAATCCACAGATATTTTTCTTTACAAAAGTCACCAATAAAAGGGGAAGTAAACAGATTGGTTTTGCTCTCAAAATTTGGCGAGGCAAACTTGTTCCAAGGCTGAGGTGTTTCTCGCCAGCTTTAAACCCAAGGTGCATTTTTATAGCCAAGAACCAGGGCCCTGAAACGGAGTAACGGAAACGCTGACCTAGCCTTCGCTCAGCAGCACGGACGGCGCCGCTGTAATTTATGGAGAACACATTTTGGTTTTGTCAGGTTTTTAAACAGAGACTGTTATAAATTTGAAGAAGCACTGTCCTGTTAGGTCTTCAAGCAGCATGTGTTAGTGTTGTTAAGCGTCCATCCTCCGTGTAGAGCGGCGTTCCTGTCTGAAGCCTCATTGCAATGGCAGTTCACCCCATCAGCGAGAGAGAATGCCAAGCCCAGATTTGTTCTGAAAACGGCGTTCACTGATGGAATGCATCACAGCCATTGTCACCATGATGGTGACCAGCTGCAAGGCACTGGCAAAGGCACCCATCTTTGAGCAGAGTTCTCCTCATGCTTTCCTTGGGAAGCAGAAGGTATATAACAGGGTTATTGGGGACACTGAGAGGCGGATCTCATTCTAGCCAACGGGAACGGAATGCTGCCCTCTAGAATCTCTGGTTTTGTAGAAAGGTTGTTTTGCTTTGTTTTTACTCATGTGTGTGTATATATGTGTGCATGCACATTTTCAGGTGTCCTTGGAAAACAGAAGAAGGCATCAGATTTCCTTGGAGCTACTTACAGGAGGTTGAGAGCCATCCAACATGGGTGCTGGAACTGAACTCAGTCCTCTGGGAAGGTGACCAGTGCCGTTAACCCCTGAGAGCCCTCTCTGTCCCTCATGCAAGATTTTGTTTAGAGTTTTGGCTATGAACGTTATGCATTCCCAAGAACACAACCTTATTAGCAATAGGGAGAGAAGCCTTGACAATTACTCACACAGCAGCCAGCAAGGAGCTCCTTCTGCTCTTTTGTGGAGACTGTTGGATGGGGAAGAAGTAGAGAGGGGTTCGTCAGGGTCTAGGGACAAACACAGATCACCTCTTCACATGGGATTGATTTCTGTAGGGGAAGGAATAGGTTAGTGGGGAATCCTGAAATCCAAGCCATCAACCACTCTTCTATGCTCCTGGCTAATGCTTGCCCATTGTAAAGAGGGTGACTTGTGAGTCTCATGAAGGAGCTCTTCATGATGACTTCCCATGCCCATTATGGGCTTTTGAATGCTCTTGTTTTCTGAAGCAGTTGTCATTATTGCAAAATAGACAGTATGATCAACATAGAGATCTGGAACTTGGACTTCTGTTTCCCCTATCATTTCTTAAACTGAAGCCCTGGGATTTGAACTCAGAGATCCACATCATGATGTTGGTATGGCAGACCCTGGTAAGGAGCAAGGCCAAGGATCAACTGGTCAGTAAGAGGAGCATAAAGAAGGGTAGAGGGAGAAGGAAGAGAACACTATGAAAAAATTAGCCCAACTATGACATGAATTGTGATGTGTCCATGCCACATAAGAAAGGTGACCATAGAAGTCATGATTCTAGCTAACATTTATGGTACACTCACAGGGCTGTGAATCCTTGATTTCACTCTTGTATTGGATGAGGAACTAAGCCTTCACCAAGGGCAGTTTTCCAAGGTAAGCTTCATTTCTAGGACAGCTCTACTCTATATCATGCTGTGGATTAGTTATCAGCAGTGTTCTATCTGTGCCCATAGTGTTGAGTCATCATGGCCAGGCAGGGTCACACCACCAGAATTTGGACTCCTACAGTTTGACACCATTATGTTGCATATTTGCTACAAAATTTTGTGTGTGGGGGTGGGGAAATAGAGAGCAAAATTGAATGTGTATATCATTGTGATTGTGTAGGCAGAAGGAAGCATGAATATGATTAGGTACAGACAGGATTCTAAAAAGAATTCTTTCTACTTTATATGTTTTCTAAATTTTCTTCAGCTCTAATATATGACTTTTCTAATGAAAATAATGTTTTAAAAATTTAGCCATAAACCTGTAGTATTTTATAGACTCTATCAGAAAGTCAATTCAATGAAGCCAAAAATAAATGAAGAAGGAAGAGAAGAAAATCCCTTGAGCAAGAGTCATGAAACCAGAGACAGGAATCTGTGACTACTCTACCTGGCCTGATGTCCCTCTGAGCTCAAACGCCATGTCCTTGAACCTCAAAAGGGTCAACTCTGAGGAAGAACACTTGCCAATGGCCACCAAAGAGAGATTCCAATCACGAAAGACATTTTATACAACTGGAGTGATTTTAAAACAGGTAGAACTTAGATGATACAGAGGCCTAGGGTGTGCTGGTCATGAAGGAAAACTGACCAGAAGATAATGTACTTCAGGTCAAAATGAGAAAATATGTAAAGATAAAAGATTGCTTGGAAGGTGTGTACTTTATAACAAATGAAAGAAAAAAGCTGTAATTACAAGGAAGTGCACATTAATACATTGCAAGTTGGTGAGGGCAACTTCTCTTTTGGTCTGCAGCACTGCTAAATTAAACATGGGGCAGTTGCTAATATTTGCATCAAACAAAAATTCTAAGGAAAAATGTCAACAAACTGTCAAAATTCCACTTAATAAGTAAAAGCGCCAATGGGCAGTATGGCAGTTTCATTCACATGCCTGTGAGCTACCTGGGGCAACCCAGCATCATTTAAATACACAGGGATTGAGTTATATACACATAATTAACTGCAACTCAAGTAAAGGAGAAAACTATCCAAATCTGCATTCATCTTTATTGGCTTTTCCACTGGTCATAAGCAATTAGTAATCAGATAACAGTCATCACACTAAGTATCACTTCACGTAAGACCTCTCTCTAAACAATCCAATTGAAATCCAGGTGATCTATCCAGGGGCTGTGGCTCTCAAATGGGCCATTTTATAACCTAGGCACAGGTTAATCATCCTTAGCCTCCTTGGTGGGCCTTACCCAAGCTGCTGCTTACTGCTGACTTCCCAGCAGCCCCTGTTTTATGGTTAGTTAATTATTCTTTACTAACATTAATGTACTCTGAAACTGGGACCATCAAATAATATACTGAAAGAGATGTCAGTTCTCTTTTATTGTTGTTGAACTGTTTTTTTCCCACACTTAGAACAATTTTTGAGGGGAAGGAGAGGGAGCTGGGATTGACATGTGAAACAAGCTTATTTCTAATTTAAGTAAAAAAGAATTGTTATAAGCATTTGTAAAATATGTTAACATGTATAGGAGCAGTTAACCCAAATGATACAGTCTTATCTCCATAGAATTAAAAAAATCATAATGGGTTTTTTGAGAGAACCTGAAACATTTATTATTTTTTAATTATTTAACCCGAGGGCTGTATATAATTGAGACCTCACATATAACAATCTAGAGTTTTGGGTAGTGTTTGGGATTATATCTGATTTTCAAAGGTATTTTTTAAGCTGTTAACCCTCACTACTATCATAACTTTAATGAAAAACAGACTCATGTATTTCCTCAATTAGTGATGAAAACAATATACTTGGGTATATATGTTCAGTTCCTAAGTTAAAAAATAAATAACTAGCTACTTTAGATGTCCATTAAATTCTTAATGGAGGTGATGATAAAAAAACAATTTTTGTTCAGAAGAACCCTGATGAATACATAAATTCTATCCATTTACTTTACCTAGAGCTTTTCCTGAATGTCCAAGGGGATTAAAATTAACCTCTAAAATATACAGTCCATTGCTATAGAAGAAAATCTAGTAAATCAGGAAATCAAAGAGGGTATGGGACTGACAAAACATTAACCAAGAGTTTAACATGAGTCCACACCCTCCAGGAATTCGTGCACACTTACTGAAGTGAAGCTCTTTGTCAGTCTACCTCTGAACTCCTAGGACAAATGCAGTCAGGGAAATAGGATTGATCATTAACTGATATATCAAATATACACCTTAGACAAAAAGATGCTGAATTGTAATTACTGAGCAGGAGGTCTCAAAAGCAAACAAAAAAGTCCCTAGAGTTTTCTCATTGGAAAACATACCACCCAGCCTCACCAACAAACTTTAAGGGAGATCAAGGTCAAACTGTAGATGAAGAGAATGCAACTGAACTCGAGACTTCCCTGAGTTGCTAAGTCCTGCCCACCCCACTTTGCTTTCCCACCAGAACTCCTGTCTCTAATAGAGCCCAATAGAACACTGCACCACCCAGCTGTCTGAGCCCCTGAAGATGACCACGTGACTAAGTGGTCTCTCTGGGTGAAGGCTGAAGCTCCACTGGTCCTCAGGACACAGATATGTGGGTGGCCGGTGTGTCTGGAGAAAGACTCCAAACAATATTCTAGAAAAACCCTAAACTCCATGCATAAAAGAGAGATTATTATCTCTTTTGTTTCACCCATAGCTCCTTAAACTTTGGGTCACGGCCCCGTAATGAATGAGATGATCCTCTAGAATTCGGCAACAGCAAAAGGTTTTCTAAAGGTGTGTGAACAATAATAAGGCTCTCGATGAATCTCAGGAGTTTCAGTAGCTGTGACCCTGTGGGATCATGTGACCTTACCATGACCTTGGTCCTGAGTCCGCATGTGAACTTTATGCTGTGCAAACCTCTGCAGTCAACAATGCCTGATACACTTTGGTTCAGATCTGATGCTATTTCATGGTAAGGGCAGTGGTGTTCCCGTTGACAGAGACTACTCTTACCAAAACATGATAGTTTAATCAAATAAGACCAAGGCTTAAAGAAAATCTCCTACCATCATTTCTCAGCTTCTGAGTATCAAATTAGTATGTCTTTGGACTGCTTTATGTTAGAATGTTTGAATTTTAAAAGTCTGCTTGGTTACTGGCTTGAGTTTCTTCGTTAAAAAATGTTAAATTAATTTTGACGTGGGATCCAGACAGCATTTCCAACCTTTTGTGAGACGGCCCCTTTGTACTCTGTGTTCCTGAAAAGTGGCAATCTCAGCACTGACAATTGCAAAAGCTGAATATTGATCAACTCTGGAAAACATTAAAGATTCCCCATGCCCTACAGTATCAAATTTTCAATCCAGATTCCATTCTTTATTTAAAAGTAACCCAGCAGATCTATCTTGTTAGAATACAAATTTGTGTCCATCTTTAATAAATGGCATAAGTGCATGTATGGCAAAGTTTTGTTTCACAATAAATTTCTTGGTGATTTATTATCAGCTTGCTTTTGATGTGTGTGCTTACTTCATGTGCCTCTTAACCCAGGATCCTCTGAAAGCCCAGTAGGGGCAGAGTTGAGAAATTTCGTGTTAGCTCACTGTCCTTAAGACCCACTGTTGTCAATGGCTGAACACAAATGTAGATCCAGGGCTGGAAAACCAGATTTAGACAACGAACACCCATCATTTTTGTTGGTCACAGATTAGGTCTGAACATAGTTTGTGTCCCTTGTGGTGTGTTGAAATTTCATCCTCATTGTGAAGTATTAAGAGGGCAGAAATTTAACCTGACCGTGGTGTTCAGACATGGGGCACAATCACGGTTAGATAAGGTCATCAGGACAGAGCCTTTGTGGCTGAATTCTGGTGGCTTTGTAAGGAAAAAGGCCACTGGAGAGACACACGTCGCCATACACACTCCCTGTCACTGCCTATGTCACTTCAGAATTTACACAGCAAGAAGTCTATAACCCAACGCTGCCGTGTGACTGAGGACTTCCAGAAGCACAAGCTACCATGAACGTCTTCTCTTTATAAAGAACAAAGACTCAGATATCTCATTATAGCAAGAGAAACTAACACAAACCATTGAAATAGTTCCTCAAAGGCAATTCCATTCAGAAAACAGATAAAAGCACAGCAGAAGCTGCGGTCCTCAAGTCCATCCTTCTTTCCCTTTGTTCTCACTCCCAATCTCACAAGAGTCGTGTGGAACTTCAGAAGGTTCCCAGGGATCCTGAGGACCTAGACCAAAAACCGGAATTATCTGAGTCGTGGTTAACTAGGCGCTCATAAGAAACACAAGTCTTTCTAGTATTGACCAGAGAAACCCACGGGTCTTCCCAAAGGGACATTTAAAGGCAACATTTAAGGGCAAAGGACAGGGTAGCGGGAACTGCAAAAGTGAGACAGTGCACCCAGCTACTCCATTCTCAGGTCTGGCTTAACCTAGGAGCAGTGGTTCTCAACCTATGGGTCGTGACCCCCTTGGGGTCACATATCAGATATTTACATTACTATTCACACTAGCAGCAGAATTACAGCTATGAAGTAGTAACAAAATAATTTTATGGTTGGGGGTCACCATAACATGAGGAACTAACTGTATTAAAGGGTCACAGCATTAGGAAGGTTGAGAACCACTGTAGGAAAGCCGTGCTAACTAGTTTTGTTCACTGTGACACAAACTAGAGTCCTTTGGGAAGAGGGAATCTCAACTGAGAAAATGTACACACACACACACACACACACACACACACACACACACACACACACACACACGCCTATGGGCAGCTTGTAGATCATTTTCTTGGTTGATAATTGGTTCGGGAAGGCCTAGCTCACTGGGATCGGTGCCATCTCTGGGCTGATAGCTCTGGCTATAAGAAAGTAGGTCAAAGGAGCCATGAGGAATAACTCAGAAAGCTCCATTCCCCCATGGCTTCGAAATCAGCCTCTGTCGTCCCGGATCCTGCCCTGTTTCTACCCTGACTTCCCTAGGCAATGGTGTGTGACCTGAAAGGTACAAGCTGAAATACCCCCCCCCCCCCCGCCTCGAGATGACTTTGGTCTGGTGGAAGTACTCCTAAGTAGTAGTTAAAGCTGACAACAGCAGAGCTGTTGGAGCAGAAGCTCATGTTCTCAAGCCCATTCCTTCTTCTTGGTCCTGTAGAAACCGCAACTCAGACAGGAGCCGGGCCTGAGCTTTCCCTCCTGATGGATCTCCTTCCATTGAGCTCTGCCTCAGCCACAGAGGGGACAGCTGCTCAGAAGCCCCCTCGGGCGAAGCTCCCAGGTACCTCCCCCACTGAAGATTCCCATCACACACTTGTTTGGCCTGCAAATAAATTGGCAACGCAGCTGAATTTAATCTTTTGATTCCCCCTCGAGAACAAATTTCTACAAGCCATTCCCATGTAGACAAAAAGATTTTGTCTCACTAAACCTGTTTATTGACCAAAACTGTCGCCTCTGCTCTGACCACTGACCTTATCTGAACATTCAAATCTATTACAGAGCGCAAGTTCAAATGATTTTGGTGCCCTCTGGAAGCCCTGTTTTCATAGTGAGCTGATTACCAATGACAATATTATAAGGGCTTTAATTGAGATTCTCCAAACAATTTGCATCCTGGATTTACAAACCTAATATATTACGAAGCGTGATGCTGCTGACGGTGGGGTTTTTGGTTGTTGGCTTTGTCTTGTGTCTTGTTTTGTTGTTTGTTTGTTTTATGGGTAAGTTGGTCATGCTTTACAAAAACTACCATTTCTCCAAGCCTTCCTCAAGTCAAATAATCCTTAACCTTAGTCTGAAAACAAACGCCATTCCCATTCCAATGCAAACCAAAGCTCTGAGAGTTCAGAGCTCCCAGAGCTCACCCACCCCCTTCAGAAACCCAGCACCCCAGCACCCTAGCACCCCATGCAAAAGAAGAGACCACACTCCCGCTGGAAGAATACAGGTTCTGATAGTTTGTGCGGCCTCGGGCAAGCTACCAACTTCTTCACCTGACCTCCCAGTAATCAAGAGAGGATAAAATAATTCTACGAACAACTCACAGAATTGATATTTGAACAGAATTAATTAGTTGATGTCAAAGGTTTAAGAAAATCAAAAGGAGTACCTGAAAATGTAAGCTGTCTTTAGTCAACAGATGTATTAAAAAAAAAACCCAGCTGAGTGAGACACCAATAGTATGAAGGCCTAGGACTTACTGTTACATATGCACCAGTGAACTGGGTGCTTCTACCAACCCTGTTTCATAGACGAGGTAAACAGAGGCTTGGAATCTTTACAACAGGAAATAAAAACACACCTCTGCTATTCTCAAAGACTGACAGTTCAGACACATGCAGAATTTATCGATTCCCAGCTCCACCCTTAAAACATTCCCCATCCCTGGCAAAGATGCAAGTAACCAGCTGTCTCCTCCAATGGCCTCAGTGCCTAGGTTGGTGGGGAGCCTAGACAGCCTTGGTTTCTCCTTGTCCTTGTCTGGAAACCAGAAACCTGGCTGACCTGTGCAAACATGGAAAAACCTTTTATCAGTGGGAACCTGTTCATTTCATCTGACTTTGTCTAACATTTGGTGACAGATATGACTGAAAAGCTAGCTCATGAGCAAGAAGACCTTGTAAGTTATAAGATAATAATAATAATAATAATAATAATAATAATAGCTTCTAAGGTAATAGAAGCTAGTGAGTTAGAGGAACTAGTCGAAGGGACTGCTGACCTCCCCCTTGCACTAACCGATACAGCCAGTGGCAGGAAGCAAAATGAATGAATGAATGAACACCTTTTTCTACATGTGCTTCGAGGGACCAGTTGTGCCGAGCAGTACAGGGCAGTTTTGCTCTCGGTTCTTGACTCTGGTAAAATGAAGTACGACCATTCCAAATCAGGTGTAAAGTCCAGCCCTGAAAGAAATGATCTGTCCGAGTGCTAATATTTCAGAATCTCTAAGTTGAAAACTCACTGCAGGTAATTTATAGCCCGGATTGGCTGAGTTCCCCTCCAAGACAGTGCATTTAATCAAAGTTAACTGGTGAAAATTATGAAGCCTCTTAATTGAGCTCTCCTACGGTGGGCTTTCAGGGCAGCTGTGTGAGCACCACAGAAAACAACAAAATGAATAAACCACGCTTTCCTCTGGTTCCATTTTCAAATACGACGTCTGGAATGAAGAGCTGGGATCTCCAGGCGGTGATCTTCATGCATAGTATAGTGTTTGTCCTGAATTTCATTGCTTTGAAAAAGAGGCATGAAAAGTCTTGATTTAGTTGGCATTTAATGTGATTTTTATAGAACTTCTGTGATATAATCAGTCGCAGTGGGAATCGGTGGGGAAACTTACAGAGCAGTAAACCCTTACCTATTGTTCTCTCTGTGCTCTGATTGGTTTGCTGGGTATACACAGCCGAAAACTCCCAGTTCACATACACCTACTCTATTTGTAGACACCCATAATGATTGAGTGTGGGCCAGCACCATCCCTTCTTCCAGCCAGGCAGCCAGTCAGGATGCAGGGAAGACAATAGGTATGTTGGAACAGCAACAAAGAATGTGTGGCTGTAAATCACCTTCCATTTCTGCATAGCTGGGAATAGTAACGCAAAAGCTATAGGCAAGTATATTAATGTCTCCTGCTCTCCATAAATGAAGAGCTGTGCACAGCAATGCACTCTTGATTGTTATTCCAAGATAGCTTTTTCAGCATTAGATTCTCTGCTTTATTTTTTAAAGCAAAATATGTATTTTGCTCTTATTTAGAAGCAATGTCTCCCCTTTTGTTGGAACCCATAAGCGTCTCTTTCCAGCAGATCAACACATTATCTTTGCTACATGGTGATTGACTGGTGATGTGTTCAGAACTCAGAGGTCCACAGTTTCTGGAGCCCCTAATGATGTCAGAAAGAAGGTCTCATAAACAACCAGGGACTTCCCTTCATCTAGTCAATTCAAACTCACAAATTGCCAGAACTATGTGGAAATATAAAATGAAATACAGAAACAACACATTACATTTACATGTTTTTAAATATGCTTACCCATGCATTTAATTTAGACTTAATGAAGTAGTTATATGCAACCAAAACATCAGAGTTATTAAAAACAAATTTGTGGAGGGTTAGCAGCTGTGTTGTCTGTCAGTCTCTACCTGTGCCAGACTCATTGTTCTCAGTAAGGTTTTTAATCATTCACTTGTATTTGTTAAGATAATATAATCATCTGAGTATTTCCAGTCAGTGAGACTGGATAGGGTGCTTTTTGGATTTTTGGATAAGCACCGATTGATCCTTTAAACAGCATAAAACTGACTCTGGAGCCTATTTACACCAACTCTGAGTGTCTGTCCCATTCTGCATGAGTCGGTTGGAACAAGGCTAACAGGACTGCCATATGTGCTCTAAGCTGTGCACCAAGAGGATAAATGTGCTGTTATTGTTGACAGTCAGCAAATATGTCAATGTTTAGCAAAAGTCAACATATTTGTA